CAATCCCATTAACTTTCTTATTAGCAGTAATTTGCTGTGAGTTGCATCCCTTAGGCATGTCAATACCTAGTATCGTGGGTTCAAATCCCTCTTCATTTGATTATGTTTCTAGGTTTGTCGGCACCATACTTGTGACTGTAGGATTCACAGAGTTTTAAACGTCTAAAACCTACTACTTTTTGGTTTTCTTCCAACATCACACTGTGATATACTGAAATATTGGAATCAGCATAATGTCGTAGGACCCGTGAAGACCCGGGGTAGAGTAGGTCTTCAGCAACCCATGCTTGCCGACCCGTGAAGACCCGGGGTAGAATAGGTCTTCAGCAACCCATGCTTGCTGACCCGTGAAGACCCGGGGTAGAATAGGTCTTCAGCAACCCATGCTTGCCGACCCGTGAAGACCCGGGGTAGAATAGGTCTTCAGCAACCCATGCTTGCCGTAAAAAGCGACAATGCTTGTCGTAAGCCGACTAACGGGATCAGGTGGTCAGGCTCGCTGACTTTATTGATCCATTTCATCGTATCCAATTGCATGGATCGATGCTCATGACATCAACCACTGGATTGTCTGGTCCAGACTCGATTATATACAGACTGCGGTCATATAGCTGGAATTTTGCTGACAAAGAAACAAACATAATGTCTTTTGGGACAGCCTCTGTCTGAATGAACATTTCATTCCAAAGGCAAATTACCCTGCAGCCATGACATGTATATGCCCTGAATCACACAGCTGCCATTACTTGTAAGACGCTAATCCCAATAATTAATCATCATTGTATTGTGCATTGACTGTCTGCCATCCCGAACAAGCAGTGCAACTATGACACTGATTAATTGCTGTTGTTCATATCAATTATTAATCCATGTCAGGTGACCTAAACTATATATACGCCTTGGTTCAGAGATGAAAATGTGCATGGCATATATTAGCATGGCTTATTGGAAAATTTTAAATTTCCTCCAAAATTAACTAAGCGACCATAAAGTCCCTCCAGGTTACCTTACCTTTCGGACATACCCTTCTCGACCACATCACAAAATGGCCTGTTGGCCCGTGCACAAAATACACCTATGTCACAAAGTGAACCTTAAAACCCAAACTAAGATAGTAAGTATGAAAATGTGAAGAGAAGGTCTTACCCTTAGCCAAGCTGGGCACCATCACAACCATCACTATGTGCTGCCCTGGCACATAGAATACCACAGTACCAATAGTAGAATACCACAGTACCAATAGTACAATACCACAGTACCAATAGCAGAATACCACAGTACCAATAGTACAATACCACAATTCCAATAGTACAATACCACAATACCACAGTGCCAATAGTAGAATACCACAGTGCCAATAGTAGAATACCACAGTGCCAATAGCAGAATACCACAGTGCCAATAGTAGAATACCACAGTGCCAATAGCAGAATACCATAGTACCATTAGTAGAATACCACAGTACCAATAGTAGAATACCACAGTGCCAATAGTAGAATACCTTAGTACCAATAGTTGAATACCACAGGACCAATAGTTAAATACCACAGTACCAATAGTACAATACCACAGTACTAATAGTAGAATACCACAGTGCCAATAGTACAATACCACAGTACCAATAGTAGAATACCACAGTGCCAATAGTAGAATACCACAGTACCAATAGTTGAATACCACAGGACCAATAGTTAAATACCACAGTACCAATAGTAGAATACCACAGTGCCAATAGTTAAATACCACAGTACTAATAGTAGAATACCACAGTGCCAATAGTACAATACCACAGTACCAATAGTAGAATACCACAGTGCCAACAGCAGAATACCACAGTGCCAATAGTAGAATACCACAGTACCAATAGTACAATACCACAGTACTAATAGTAGAATACCACAGTGCCAATAGCAGAATACCACAGTGCCAATAGTAGAATACCACAGTACCAATAGTACAATACCAGAGTACCAATAGTACAATACCACAGTACTAATAGTAGAATACCACAGTACCAATAGTAGAATACCACAGTGCCAATAGTAGAATACCACAGTACAAATAGCAGAGTTCCCATTTCCTGGTAATGAGCAGCTTTTTACTTGCAATATTAGGCCTGGACTGGTAATTCTTGTGAGCCTTGTGTGGACCGGCAAATAAAGTACATCATAAATCTTTGCTGTTGAACAAAACATCTGCAGTAATCAATGAAATATATATTTCAAACCAAGTCAGCTTGTCTTTGATCATGAGAGCTTGCCGTTGTCTATTTTCAGTGCAAGAAAATAAAATTTCGCTTTCCTTTGAGGTTAAACATCTATTTTTAGAGACTTCATCTCAAACCAAAATGGAGGTTGAAAATAATGTTGAAAGAATTGAAACTAGGTCAATTAAAGTATTTTTATTTCTTCTTCTTATTTGGGACCGACATACCATGGAGGGGACTATTACTTTTAAGAGTTGTCAGTCCACCGGGGCCTGCAGTATCAATAGCCAGCAGTATCAATAGCCAGCAGTATCAATAGCCTGCAGTGTCAATAGCCTGCAGTATCAATAGCCAGCAGAAACACTGCAATACTTTAACACAACAAACCAATAGAATGCCAAGGCACCACTTTTAGAACCCCACAGCACTAACATCAGATCCCCACAGTACAACACAACAAACCAATAGAATGCCAAGGCACCACTTTTAGAACCCCACAGCACTAACATCAGATCCCACAGTACAAATAGTAGAACACCACAGTACTAATAATAGAACACTACAGTACTAATCACTAGTACTAATAGTATAACAACTGTATGAAAGATGAAAACACCACAGTACCAACAATCAAACACCACAGTATTGCAGTACCGTATATAGCCATCTATAAGACGACCCCCCTGTACAAGCCTTTAAAATCGATGCTAATTTATATACCCCATCTATAAAGCGAATCGGAATGAAGCACGTCACCAGCGCATACACAATCCCTACATTTGCAATAAAAATGTGTTCGTCTTCCGCAGACAAAAATTACATCGTTTCCCTTCAGCGAATACAGGGAAGCAAACAGATCATAACAATTAAACTTGGCCAAGACAAAATTAAAAGTTGAGATAAAAAAAACACTAGACATAATGATTTACTGATTAAATTGTATTTCCTGTTCTGATAGGCATTGTCTTATATGGAGAGATTAAGATTACCGTCTGTATTTTCTCGTAAACAAATCGGAAGTAGCAATCAGCTGTACACAAATTTCTCAGAATCTACCGGTGATTCTGTTTAAAATTACCCACTAATATAACTTTAAAGAATTTTAATACAATGATTGGAAGAATTGTATCTGAAACCATTATTTTATCAGGAATAATTTATTCCAATATCATGTTAGTTTAGTTGCAGCCTTACTACATATACCGTATTTGACGTAATAAGCACCCCGCTCTAATAAGCGCCCACGACGATATTTGCTAATATGTTGGCTTGTGAACAATTCCAATTAGCACCCCTTCCGATTGATCAATGTACACAAGACTTATTCATTCGTGTATAATGTGCACTCGTGTGTTATATGCACCCTTAATTACGGGCAATTAAATCCTGGAAAATATATCTGTTGTGTATAATACGAACAGACTTTTCTTTTGTATCATTTCCGGCTGTCAGCATAAACCACAAAATTTACGATCTTTCAACCCTTTCACAAAAATTATATTCTAATAAGAGCCCCCTATTTCTAATTTTGTAAGCGCCCTGGGCGCTTATTACGTCGAATACGGTACTTGAAATAAATTAATAAGCATAGCACTCTGGTACAGCTGGTATTGCCAGATATTTTGTTGTATGGTACAATTTGACCAATCACAATCGATGCTCCCGCGCTCGCGATAGTAAAAACTTTATGTTGACCTATATCAGTCAAACTACAATAAATATGACTTTCAGCGAGTCAATGTATGGCATTTATAATTATATATATATATATATATATATATATATATATATATATATATATACACATTCTCTATCCACTAAAGTTAGTTTCAAGGCGTCAATAGCGGTAATATGACCGTGGTTGCTGTAAATAACGGTGGGTTGTGCGATCTTCCGATCACTTCAGATACAATTTCGCCGAAATGAATATACAATATCAAATGAAATATTGAACAAAATTAATAAAATAGATTACAAACATCAGTCCATACATACAAATAGCATACATGATGGCTAATATATGAAGAATTACTCATATTCAAGAGACATTAGATTGGTTCGATGCACAAGCATACTGTCATGTTGTGTTAACTGACACTTGTGAACGCATCATATGTGACATCTTAGATCCATGACTCGAGATGCACCATTTGTCTCATGCAGTATTAGCGTGTTAAGTTTGGAAATCATGTGCAGCATATTGTGATAAGAATAAAGACAGTCTGTGGCAATACTTGAATGATTGTTAGTTTTGTCATTAAGTGGTACACATTGGAAACATCTCTCCTCAATGTACATTCTTCCCTATATATTCTTATGGTTCGCGTTTCTTTTGGCAGTGAGTATATATATATATATATAGGTCCTGTAAGTTTGGTTTGTTGTTTAACGCCGCACTCAGCAATATTCCAGCTAACTGACGGCGGTCTGTAAAGAATCGAGTCTGGACCAGACATTCCAGTGATTGACATCATGAACATCGATCCACACAATTGGGATACGATGACATGCATCAACCAAGACAGCGAGCCTGACCACCCAATCCCATTAGTCGCCTCTTACAACCAGCATAATAGCCTTTTGCAGCGAGCGTGGGTTGCTGAAGACCTATTAAAGTAAATATCATATCTTACAGTACAATACACTACCCATTTTATTACTTCAAAGGACACTCATATTTCCTGTCAGGACCCTTGAAATTAATGTTTAGGGTCCTTTTTTCTGCTTGAAATCATTGACAGTTGTTTTGTCATCAGGAATAACAAGGACTTAACTATGTGCAAACAAGACTTACCTATGTGCATTCTAAGATATGCAACGGTGAGACGCAGAATATTGCACTTGTCAAGTTTTTTGTCGTACATCGCCACCAGGGGGACTTTACAGGCCAGTTGTTGGATGCAGGCTTGAAGTCTGTCGCGACGCATCTTTTCACATTTATTTCGGGACAACCTGTAGAATAACAACAATAACGGATAACACAGTGGGGAATAACAGATAACATAGTGGGGAATAACAGGTAACATAGTAGGAATAACAGATAACATAGTGGGGAATAACAGATAACATAGCGGGGAATAACAGGTAACATAGTAGGAATAACAGATAACATAGTGGGGAATAACAGATAACATAGTGGGGAATAACAGATAACATAGTGGGGAATAACAGATAACATAGCAGGGAATAACAGATAACAGCAGGGAATGGGATAACAACAACTGGCTGAAGATTGAGTGAGTGAGTGAGTGAGTGAGTGAGTGTAATCTGGTCGGATATTGGACAGGTGGACTTGTTGGTGTGTTTTGGACAGTGAAGTTAGCCTGGATTTTAAACTTGTAAATATTCCAGCAAACAGGCTTTAAACAAGATATATTGTTGACAGCTGCCACACTTTTATGACCCTACTGGTGTCATACATTTACCATGTGTCATGCCATTAACAAGATTATTTAGATATCTGAATGGCTGTTCTGCATACTGAAAGGAACCGTAGGTGATAATGCAGCTCTACAACACTATGTTACCATGGAAACAAATGTACATGATGTAAGTACTAAATTCATTTGATGATTTTAATTTAACCTTTAGGTCTGTTGAATTTCTAGCACACTTCATATTTTCATCACTAACAGGTAAGGAACAAAGCATGCATAATGTTTTTACATTGTCTTAAATTTACCTGAAAGATGTGACTAGTGAATACAATTCAGATGAGGAACCTGTTTAAACCATTACACTTGCATATCTGGATTCATGTAAAATATTTGCTATACCTGAAATAAAATGGGGTTTCAATTTGTTATGGAAGCCTTTTAGGGACATTTGGGTTTTTGGGGGGTATTTTCTTGAAATTTCAAGATTCTAAGTTGACATTTTAAGATACTAAGATGAAATTTCAAGATATTATGTTGTAATTTCAAGATACATACTAAGTTGAAATTACAAGATAATGATCTTGAAATTTCAAGATACTAAGTTGAAATTTCAAGATACATAATAAGTTGAAATTACAAGATAATGATCTTGAAAAATTGAAGACACATAGTTAAAAATTTCAACTTAGTATCTTGAAATTTCAAGAAAAAAAAATATTTAAAAAATGACCCTAAACCCATTTCAGGAAAACAGTATTCACAAACGCGTCAGACCCTTATCGTGGGAAGTAAACCTCCGGTGACACAGTTCTCAGACATCTATCACTTAGGTAAAATCCACGAGTACGGGATGGGGTTGAATAAAAAGGTCATATGTACGTAACTGGATAATCCATCAGTTTTATGCAAGACCTATTTGGGTACGGTACATGCATGTTGATATATGTATGTCTTATGCATGATTCAGATTTGAATATGTCATATGCATTCATTCCTTGTAACAGGTGAATCATTAGAAGCAATTTAATCACATCACATCTAGTTGTATGCAAAACTTCATGATGTGACATATTATCATTTCATATGCTATACGGGGGCACTGGTGGCCCAGTCGTCTAAGGCGCTGCGATTCGCTGTGCAGAGTTGCGTCCCTTGGGCACACCAGAAACCTATGATTGTGGGTTCGAATCCTGGTTCGCCCTGATTATGTTTCTAGGTTAGTCAGCACCATACCCTTGCTCGTGGGTTTCACCGAAGTGGTAAACGTCACAGACCTGCATCAATTCGGGCTTTCCTCCCACATTAAGCTGACACGTTGTGATATTACTGGAATACTGTTAAAAGCAGCATTAAACCCAACTCACTCACTCACTCACTCACTCACTCACTCACTCACTCACTCACTCACTCACTAATAAGCTATACCCTAATATTGTACAAAGTTATTAACACACATAAAAAAAATACTGGTAATCTAACTCAAACTCTAATCTTACTTTATATGACAATTATCATATGAATGTGTGTTATATGACATGCATAATTTATCAGGCATTAATATCAGTTTATAATCACATATCCTCAATAAATAAACATTACACAATGTATATATATGGCATAACTCAAAATCTGATGAAATATGAAAATACATTGATCATTATCATAATCTTGATAAAAAGATTAAAAATAATACTATTAAAAAAATCTAAGACCTTTACATCTGTTGTCGCTCATATTCAATAGCAATTGATATCCTTAGAAAATAGATCATTTGACATTTGTCAGAACTCCAAACTAAAGGCCCTTAGGAGGCAAATTGGTGTAAAAAGTGCATATTTTTGTCATTCTTATTTTTCAGTATTTTTTTACATTGCATTCTAAGCAAGATAACTAAACACTGAACATATCAAACCATTATTTCTTTATTTTGTTTCTCTATCAGTGAATGTCACCTCTACAAACACATGCCATCAGTTCTAACTGAGATTATATAATTTGGGAAAAACAATTAATTCCATTTTGCAAGTGCATGTACCGGTAAGATATATCACTTTCTTGATACTGACAACACTGACATAATATGGCGTTCATATTGAAAATCCGATTCAAACCTCTAGAATAATTTCAGATGCCATCATTGTTGGAACAAGCATGTGAAGTTTCAGCTACATTGACTGTGGGGCAGTGGGGTAGCCTAGCGGTTAAAGCGTTGGCTCGTCAGTCCAAAGACCCGGGTTCGATTCTTCATATGAGTACAATGTGTAAGCCCATTTTTCTTTGTCCCCCGCTGGGATATCGCTGGAATATTGCTAACAACAGGGTGTAACCATACTCACTCACTCACTCACTCACTCACTCACTGGTCAAGTGGTTTCAGAAGGAAAAGTGTTTATGATACAAAACTGATGATGACTGAAGACTGACAAACAGGACATTTTTAGTCAGGTGAGCTAAAAGCCACAGATCTGAAAAGGGTACAAGGTTCAGATGGATATAGGGGCGGTCGGGTAGCCGAGTGGTTAAAGCGTACGCTCGTCACGCCGAAGACCCGGGTTCGATTCCCGACATGGGTACAATTTGTGAAGCCCATTTCTGGTGTCCCCCGCCGTGATATTGATGGAATATTGCTAAAAGCGGAGTAAAACCATACTCACTCACTCTCTCACTCAGACGGATATGAGACAGTAAAATTCAAGGCTTTTTCAAGGCTTCCAACTGTCGTTTTCAAGGTTTTTTATTTTGGTAATTAGCCAACATACCATAATATTAGTCATACCGGGAATCAGTATAAACATAAAACATTTTCCAACAGGGTTAATTTTCACACCAAATAAAATATATTAAGCCATAAATTTTGATCATTTCAAAAACAAGAATATGTCATTTTGTACAAATTCAAGGCTATTTAAGCTATTCTGGTGATTTTCAAGGTTTTTCACACTAAAAATCAAGGCTTTTCAAGAGGGACCTTAAAATTAAAGGCCTTTTCAAGCCTGTACGAACCTTGATCCTTTATATCTGAGAACCAGCCATGACTCTGTGTTTAGTATGTGCAACTATTCAAGGAAACCATGCAGGTGTATTTGTTCATCAACTTATAAGGATGCCGAGTGGTAAAAAAATCAATTTTGTGTTGTGGTCTTGACTCAGTTCAGTGTAAGCCTAATTGGTAAACACTTCGATAACACAGCCAGCCAGGTTATATAAGTGATGTCAGCTTTCATTCTATTTCATTCAGACATGGCCGACTTATTGGTTTCAAGGTCTTTATTAATTATTATTTCAGTCAAGTCTGCCATGGTCCCACCTAGACAAGAGACAGGTTTGTCTTATCAATTGTTTCATTTCTTTGCATCTTCCTGAGGCAAGGGCGTTAAATGACTATTAAAGTCCAGTTTCCACCCTTGCCGAACTAGGCTGGAGTTACATTTTGGCTGGACTAATGAGTCTATGCACAGTCAAATCAAAATCGCGTAATCAACTAGACATCTGGTTCATAAACAACATGGGTTTAAACGTGTATATTTCGGTCAACTGAAGGATTTGCAAAGCATGTGTACCGCCAAATGGGCGTTGACAGATATTTTGCAAATATTTTCATGTTTTTAGTCAAGGTACTCAACTCGTAATAGCCACTGGTGGAGCCACAAACGAGCCTGGAAGTTCCAGCCTATTTCAGCAAGGGTGGAAACTGGACTTTTATAGTCGGTTAACGCCCTTGCCTCAGGAGGATGATTCCTTGTTGTTTCAATGCAATATTCAGTACAGGTGCAAGTGCATGATAAACACACTGTACCTGTACCAAAAAAGGTTGCTTTGCAAGAATACAAACATCAAAATCCCCAAGTCAACCCTGTCTTCATTCTGGACTAATTGAGTGAGTTTAACGCTACTTCGAACAGTCAGATTTATTTGTTTGTTGTTTAACGCCACACTCTGCAATTTTCCAGCTATATGACAGCCTTTTGTAAATAATCATGTCTCGACCATGCAGACAATCATGAGCAGTGATCTAAGCAACTGGGAAACAATGACATACATCAACCAAGTCAGCAACTGTGACCACCTGATCCTGTTACTCGCCTTTTACAACAAGCATGGGTTGCTGAAGACCAATTCTTATCTAGATCTTCTCGGAAACCTGATGAAAAAAGCTATGGTGCAACTGGTGAAGAAAGGGTCAGGGCAGATAAGGGTCAGTCTGTAAAACCGAAAACACACATAATGTTTTGGCCTCCGTGCTCATTACAGGGTCACAGACTGTAGCATCCAGCTTGCCAGTTTCAATTCTAGCCATTTGAAATTTTCAGAGTCAAAATGGCAAAATAGTTTCACCCATAATGATACAAGTATAATGCCTACACTAAAATTGATCCTTCATCAAAATGAGTTATTAGGAATATTCATATAAATCTCTAACCATTGCTTCATATATATATATATAAAATAAAATAATAAAGTCCACATTAGTCAAGCATCTTCTTTATATCAGTTTAAATCAGTCTGAAACTGATATAAAGAAGATGTTGGACTAACTATTACATGTACACTGAGTGAACATTCGTTTGCCTCATTTTTGTATATATATATATAATTATTAATATTATTAATATTATATATAATACATGAAGTTCTATATGGTTTTTGTTTTCTCATTGTTAGCTCTGTGGTTGCCTTGGTTACAGAGATATATATCTAACAGGGATACAGGAACAGAAATATCAATTGAAAAAAATAAAAAAGTATATGATTATACACATGGGATCATTCTATTTCTAATAATAATATATTTCTGACATCAACTGTGTAACGCATTAAATAATGTGTTATACATCCCATCTTTATCATACAGCGCTGCATGTATACATCATGAATTAGTCATAGGTTACCATAACAACCACCTGATGTCATTCTTTTTCAATGGTAGTGTTTGCTCAGCGCTGTTCGGCTTTAGGAAATCAAATAGTAAACAAGTCATAAATTTGGGAACAAAACTGCAGAATTGTGTGCCTAAATTTTAGGTTTTCTAGCCCAAATTGGATAAGGAATCTATTGATACAATTACATAGAATAATGTTGTAATTATTCTTAAGTGAATGTTAGTTTCTTGATGAGAAATGTTTATAAATAGAAGCTGTCATATCACATTGGCATTGGGAAAATTCTTTTAGTAGTCCTATAGGTTAAACAGTGTTAATGACAACGTAGTAGTTAATTAACACGTTACATTCATGTTCTCATACAATTTCATTTACAATTCACACATTAGAACACACCAACACACAATTCATTGTTATGGTTATTTAAGAGACAATCAAACTATTTGTTTGGGTCTAAGCAGAAAATGTAAATTTAGCTCAAAAAGCTCTTCAAGTTTGACAAAAGTAGCTGAACTCGTTTTCATTCTAAAATATTCACAACAAAGACGTTTCTATTTATATTATCAAATTAGACCTTAGCATGATTAATTGAGATGCTCATGTGTTTGTGATTATTTGCATACCGTATTTACGGTATCGAGCACCCCTGACCAACTTCTATTTCAATCATATGATCACTGGTACTAAGCAATGAAATGTACATGACAGTCCTCATTTTCTTGTGTATATTTTTTACAGAAAACACAACAGTGTAGGAGGATATAATTGTCTGTTAACTACATGTATATTATAAAATTGTTTGAATTTCATGACCATTAGCACTAAGCTTGTTCTCTACAGCTCAATCTCCGACAACAAATTTAACTGTGTAAGGTTTTAATAAACGCCCCTTTGCTAATTTTCATAACGTTGACATTGTAGAATTGTTTACCAAGTCATTTCTCACCTGACGACCTACATAAAATACTTATCTACGATTATCAGATACCATATTCAACGTAATAAGTGCCCTGCTCTAATAAGTGCCCAAGGCGATATTTGCTAATATATTGGCTAGTGAACAATCTCAATTAACACCCCTTCCAATTGATCAATGTACACAAGACTTATTTATTCATCTATAATACGCACTCATTTGTTATATGCACCCTTAATTATGGGCCATTATATTCTGGAAAATATATCTGTTGTGTATATTACGAACAGACTTTTCTTTTGTATCATTTTAGGCATTTATGTCAATTACGGTACATCAGAAGTGGTATCTAAAGATCAGCATTCCATACTATTAATAGCCATATGCATGTGTAACAATGAACCACTTAATGTCGCATTCAAGATTATAAGGATTATTGCAGTATATAGCATAGTGCTTGCATGCATGCATGCGTGCGTGCAAGTGTGCGTGCGTTAGCGTGCATGTGCATGTGTGCTCGCATGTGTGTGTGTGTGCTTGTGTGCTCGCATGTGTGCTTGTACTAGTTCAGACTGAAGCTGGTTTATCACTGGTCTAGACTCGATTATTTACAGACCATCTTCATATAGCTGAAACATTGCTGAGTGCTGCTTTAAACAACACACAATCTGGCTTGACTATGTACTAAAACTTGTTTTGTTTTGTTTCAATTTTTGCATAGTATTCACTTTTTAGACCGTGTACTAAAACTGATTTATGTCTTAAATATTGATTAACCTACTCATACCAGAGACCCATGATCATGGGTTCGAATCCTGGTTCACTGTGATTGTTTCTAGTTTTGTCAGCTTTCCCCACACATCAAACTCAGGCAATGATCTAACTAAAAATCTTTTCAAAGCGTTGTTAACCCCAAACCACTCCCTCACTTATGAATGAACGTGTTGTCAGATCATTGGTTTTCGGACATCATACATTTTCGGACGAGCATGTTTTTTGTGATTACACACACTATAACAAGGGGTGTAAGATCACACAGACATTGTAAATACTCAAATGATGGCTGGTTTTTATGAGACAGTTGTCTTTTATAAGTGAATGAGGTGTTTTACAGTTGTAAAGCGATTAGAGAGAAAATGATGAATGTTTCTTTAGCGTCCTAAAACCCATAACACAGGGATATATTAAAGGCTTAAGTATAGAGTGAGTGAGTGGGTATGGTTTTACGCCACTTTTAGCAATATTCCAACAATATTCCTGCAATATCACAGTGGGGGACACCAGAATTGGACTTCACGCATTGTATCCATGTGGGGAATCAAACCCGGGTCTTCAGCGTGACGAGCGAACGCTTTAACCACTAGACTACCCGACCGCCATTAACCATATAGAAACATTTGTGTGGACAAAACAGAATGTTAAAAAGTTGGATAATTTTTATAGTCTTGAGTCAAAATATTGTACTGTTAGTCAACTGTCACTTCCTATTTGTCTGACAGCTGCTCTTCAATGTAAATATTGTGGTTGAGGAAGGCATCTTGCCATCTTGGGTGTGTATTCAAACAGAAACTGAATAAAATACCAAAAGTTTTCTTACCTCTTTTGAGTACCGGAACACGCTGCTTGGTCATTTTCGCTGTTTGCGTTTTCGATCGAGCAGGCTTCCATGCGACCTTTGACCTGGACAGGTAGGTCGCCGAGTTGGGCATCACACTGCATGGGCGTGATAATGTCGCGCGTTGTTCACTTGATAATTTAACTTAAATGTCATTCATCTGACTCCCATCAAATTTTCAATGTTTAATATCCCTGCTTGTAAAAATGACGGGAAAACGGTAGTCGACAAGCTTGTGGTGACATATTCTCTCTCTGATTGGGGCACCTGTTGAAATCGGCGGCACGCTTCATCACCGTCTGTTTCATGTCCATGTGAAACGTTTCAATCCACATGATCGTCAACTGCCAATGGCATTATAAATCTGTAACTGAATTTAGCTTGTTCCGGTGAGAGAACACGTTTCAGACTGAAACGTATTTCACACATTGTAGCTTTCCTCGCTGCGTGCCATTGACATTGGCCTTGAAAGTGAAGAGGTGACCCAATTATGTGGGCGCAGTGTGCTTCTCGTCGCTGCGATACTGAAAGCCGCACGCTGAGTTTAAAAGAAGTAGGCAAGTGGGAGAATAAATATCATACATTTTAATAGACCAAGACTTACATGGAATTTAGAATTCTGTTAGAGATGTCATGAAAACTGGTCAAAATTCGGACGTGGTTTGAAATTGATTTCTACGGTGAAAAACAGAATAAAAGCAATTATCGATCTGTATTATGTGAGATTGATTTCTACTTATATAGGAAAGTGTCTCCGCTGATTCAAATACACAGTAAATAAACCGAATTGATTTTTTTTTCTCATTTGCAGTTCTATCAAAGCTCGAACACATACCACCACGCCATAAACAAATTGTGTGAATGGCGAGTGCAACCGGTACGGCAGGGCATGCTGACCCTTTTATCGGACACCTGGCGTCGTCGCTGATTTTCAGCATTCCATTCATATAAATTTCAACACTATTTTGCCTTTTTCGCCCAATAGAATTTCTGTTGGTGGATGATTTAAACTGATTATTTTTCTGGAGTTTGGCGTTTTCTAATATAAATTTATACACTGCACAGGCCTTTGTGACAAAACCGGTCCAAAGTACGCCGGTCTGTGTCACTGTGTTTGTTAGTTGTTTAACGCCGCACTCAGCAATATTCCAGCTATATGACGGCGGTCTGTAAATAAAAAGATGTGAAACCTGTAAATAGCCGTGCCGGAGTCGGGCAAATTAGTGGTCGACGGCATGAGCAACAACAGTTCTGTGACAGTGGGTCACGATGACACGCAAGCAGTCAATGTGTTTTGACGATTCGATTCCCGACATGGGTACAATGAGTTAAGCCCATTTCTGGTGTCCCCCGCCGTGATATTGCTGGAATATTGCTAAAAGCGGCGTAAAACCATACTCACTGTTTTGACGATATACAGAGAATCTCACCCCAGTACCTTTTGATATCAAATACATTTCAACAGGAGTCGATAACAATTTAAAAGTGTGTGGCTTGCAGAGTACCTTTCAACTTTTATTGACGAGTGTTGATATATTTGATGGCTTTCGGCACAAGGGGTATTCTATTCATATTTATAATAACCGGTGTCTTGGGTGTAAACAAGTACATTAACCAACAGAGAGGTTATTGATGTCATGGTAACCTATGGCGTCACAATATTAATGGCCCGCAGAGGATTGTGGTGCAATTTCAATGAAGCCATATAGACATTGCTTGATCTTTAACCTAGAGTGATATCTCCCGTGGAAGGCAGTTTTGGCGGATATTAATTGAACTAAACTAAACAGTGAAACGAGGACTTTACCTTGATTAAATATGCCTGATATGCTCTATGTTGAAATAGTGTGAGTGATCATGCAAGTTATGTTATCAACTAGACATCGCTCTTTTCATACTTCAGGTGTCGATGGGTAACGACCCGTGATGATCCGGGTTTGAATAGGTCTTCAGCAACCCATGCTTGCTGTAAAAAGCGACTCTGCTTGTCGTAAGAGGCGACTAACGGGATCGGGTGGTCAGGCTCGCTGACTTGGTTGATGCATGTCATCGTGTCCCAATTGCGTGGATCGATGCTCATGATGTCAATCGCTGGATTGTCTGGTCCAGACTCAATTACTTACAGACCGCCGTCATATAGCTGGAATATTGCTGAGTGCGGCGTTAAACAACCAACAAACAAACACTATAGCTCAGTGGTTACACTGCAAGTCGTTAATGGTCGCATTTCTTTCTGACGATGCGATGCACACATTTCTTTTGACTTCAGTGCACGCATGATCTGATTGTGTGATACATGTATCTAAATAGTTTTTGCGAGGGCTGCGGTAAAACATTTCCCAATCAGACATTTTCTTGAGACCTACAGTGGGTAGCCGGGTAGGGTTGGGTAATAGTGGGCCGGGTACCCGGGTAGTAACTTTGGACTCGTCCCAGCCCTATCATGTAGTCATTAGTCTATAATCTAGTGGTTAATGTGTACACTCGTCTCGCCCAAGTCCCGATTCGATTCTCCACATGGATAGAGTGTGTGAACATCATTTCTGCCCCCCAACCGTATTGTTGAGGGAATATTGCTAAAACCGGCGTGAAATCATAGTCACTTCTTCACTAGTGGTAATAGTGGTTGCTCGTCACCCTATCTAGCGGTTCAAAATTGCTCGGGTTCTACGTTCCGCATGGGTACGGAAATTTGTGAAGACCATTTCTGGTGTCCCCCACGGTGTTGTTGCGGGAATATTGCTAAAAGCGGCATAACACCACACCCCTCACTCCCATGCTCGTTGTTCCATAAAGACGGTAACCTTTTACGACCTTAGTCACTTTGAACATTCCTCTCACAATGACCTTGCACAGCGAGGAATGATTGAAATGCGGTTCCGCGTGACGTCAAATCCACCTCACTCACTCATTTGAATAAACCAATTTCGGACGTGACGAAATTATTTTATTCTTTATATGGGGATCATTTACGAGCCTTTTTTAGGTATCTCGTGGCCGGTGAAAAGTGGCCATGTGAACTGCGGTAATATTAAACCGTGTGTAACAATTTGTTACAAGTGCATATCCACAGCGGGGCCCGAGGGCAGAGTTGCGTCCCTTGGACATGCCAGACACCTTTGATCCTGAGTTTGAATTCCGGTTCGCCCTCATGGGCGGATACAGCTTTTTTTAAAAGAGGGGGTGCATAATTAAGATCTTTTTACTGTCTTTGGTGGTAATTTATACAGAAATAGAGATTTTTTTCGAAATAAAAAGCCCCCCCCCCCCCCCCCCCCCCCTCTTTATCCGCCCATGGCCGATTATGTTTTTGGGTTTATCAGCACCATACCTGTGCTCGTGGGTTTCATCAAAGTGGTAAACGTCTGAGACCTGCATCACTACGGACTTTCCTCCCACATTAAGCTGGCACGCCGCGATATAACTGGATACTGTTCTCTCACATACGCAAAATGGTCAAAGAAACAAGGCGCAGCCAAACCCGCCCGGGAATCATACCAAGGGCACCCGTGGGGAAAGTCACGCCATGGCGTGCAGAATAAATATATAGTTTATACCATTAAAAATGTGTTAGGTGTCTATGCCAGGTATATGACGCATACTAGATATTGATCAGAACAAACAAAAACAACAAATATTGCCGAAGGTTAAATTGATTTTCTATTCCCGACATCTACTGTCGCTATGCATGGCTCGCAAACATGAAGGCGCCCGTCTCTACGTGTATAGAAAACGATTGTTGATCAAGCCAGGGGAAATACAATTACTGTAAATGCTTTGGAATCCTAGAAGTCTCGTTGTTGCCCTTACAAAACCAAGTAAAAGGGGACAAAATTAAACAAAGAACGGCATTTTGTCTAATTGTCGCTTTGTCGCGGGTTGAATAATATATTTGTTTTTTTCAACAAAGATCGAAAACGCGACAATGTTCCTTCTGGGGTTCCATAACATATTCTAATAACGATGAATTCCTGCATACAAATATTTGTGTTCAATAACATTACACTAACACGCACGTACACAGACAAAGCACACACACGCTACACACACCTTCACAACCACACACATGCAGACCTTTGTTACACACACGCACGCACGCAAACACGCACGCACGCGCGCAAACCTACATTACGCACGCACGCACGCACGCACGCACGCAGCCACCCTCAACATACCCACAGCCATCTTCGAAACACACACACACGCACACTTTCGTTTCACACATGCACACCTACATTGTACACACACGTACACGCACACCTACATTGTACACACACGTACACGCACACCTACGTTGCACACGCGCGCGCGCGCGCGCGCACGCACACACACACATACAGCCATCCTCGAAACACACACACACCTTCGTTTCACACACACACGCACACCTACGTTCCACGCGCGCGCACACACACACAGCTGTCTTGGTTAAGCTACGGCAACTCAGCATGATCGTCATCCATGAATAGGGGGCACGGTTGGCCCAGTCGTCTAAGGCGCCGCGATTCGCTGTGCAGAGTTGCGTCCCTTGGGCACGCCAGAAACCTATGATTGTGGGTTCGAATCCCGGTTCGTCCCGATTATGTTTCTAGGTTAGTCAGCACCATACCCGTGCTCGTGGATTTCACCGAAGTGGTAAACGTCTGAGACCTGCATCACTTCGGGCTTTCCTCCTACATTAAGCACGCAGTGATATAACTGGGATTCTGTTAAAAGCGGCGTTAAACCCAACTAACTCACTCACACAACCAAGTATCACATACAGTCCGTCGTTAACATTATACCAGCTATAGGATTACTGTACTGGATATCACTGATACTGGAGATAGTGTCTCAAGAACATATTTGAAGATATGTGGGTGGCTAAATCATGTTTTCAATATCTCAACTTTTCTAACAAGATTCTTAAGAATTCTTGCGCTCAAATTCCCAATTACTGGAATAAAACATGCTACAGATAAATAACATTATGCTATACGACAAAAACAAGCCTTGCTGTTATGCTTCAAATCTGTCTGTCTGTGTAATGAGGCGAGTGTGCAAGGACAGCCAGCATGGCACCAATAAGATTTGGTTAAGTGAGTCAAAGAAGACCTGATCATGAGGAAGATTTGTTTGTTTGTTGTTTAACGCCGCACTCAGCAATATTCCAGCTATATGACGGCGGTCTGTAAATAATCGAGTCTGGACCAGACAACCCAGTGATTGACATCATGAGCATCGATCTAAGCAATTATATTTTGATACACTCATTCCTGCCACAGTTTGGTCACACCTCATTTGTCAGATCCCTAATAATCACAAATGCCAGGGTTGACTTTTCCCACATCATCCCGAGACAAAGGTGTTAACTGACTACAACAGTCCAGTTTCCACTTTCATAGTCAGTTAACTCCCTTGCCTCCGGCAGATGATTCTCCCACGATCCAATGCTTGTTACCAAAGAGGTAAAATGGTCATATCCCATTTGTCAGATACCTCATATTGAATCATAAACACTCATTTCTTTTATGCTGATTCT